ACATGTTTGAATAATGTACATTATTTCATTTTCTGAAAGATGAATTTTATTATAATACAATTGCAAACACTGTTGCTATGCCCTTTTTTTACAATTAAAATTGTTTATAGCTAGAATGAAGCACCTCAAATATCGCATGGCTACTGAGTAACCATTGGCAACGTGATCAATCGTCGCCTCACAAATGCTAGTAATTGACTGTGAGCATGACTATAAGTGTAACTTTGATCACAAATCTCACTTCCACGATGCTTTAGAAGAACTGCGAAATTTTGAAATTATGTCGGGAGTGCTTGATAAAACAACGGGCTGATCACTCATTCGCGATCTTGCAATCCCCTCTTCAATATAAGTATTTAAGCTAAAAGTAATGGGTTATTTTTCCCTTTTTTTATTCTAAACAAAATGGGGGCAATTCAACTTTTGACGGGAAGTTGGAAAGTTGATCACCGCATTCAAACAAACTGTGGGGCAGCACCCATTTTGCATGACGTGCGATATTTCCGCATCTATGCATGCCCTAAATTTTCTATTCAACCAAAATTGACTACACGGAATTAAAATAACGCCAAAATGGAATTGAAATTATATAGAAATTCCCCACCCCCCCCCCTCCCTTTATGACAGCAATGGAATTGCAAAATATCCTACTTTTATACTAAAATCATAACTGTTGCGTGTTCTTGTAAGAAGATTATAAACAATTCTTAAAACAACGAGTATTTTATGGGAGGGTATCTACTACTACTACTACTGCTTAAAAGCGAGTTAGTCATGAAATTCGTAATGGCCTATCTCTCACCCTACTCATGGAGATTTGGAGTTGTTGGGATTTTTGGGAGATACGCTCACCAATGCATGCGCAAATGGAGGGGTGCGGAGGACTAGGGCTTTCAGGTGAGGATTTGCGCGTAAGTGCGGTGGTAGCTATGCGCGCGCACACACACACACACGCAAGCAAGCACTATTCTCTCTTCGCCCGTTTTCTATTTCGATCGATAGTATAATCACGTACGGCCGCGCAAAGCAATGAAGGGGAGAGAGAGGGAGGGAGAGAGTAAAACCAGGCTCGGCCTAAACGCACTGCCTCTGGACAACTGGGTAAGGCAAACGAGGAAATCCGATCTCCTTATTCACTCTGACAAATTTCGGTCATATTAACACAGCTCAGGCCATGTTAAACAGAAATGAGAATTTTAAGGGCAACGAGAAACGGTTGTCCATATGATAACATGAATATGTATATATATATATATATATGCTTTTTTAAATGAAAATGGAGGTGGTAAAATGCATTGTTTACCCCTTCTGGAAGAATGGCCGATAACATGGAAAAAAATATCTCGGAAAAGAAGGGGATTCTTACCCTTTGATGCGAGTCTAACCTGATTATTTAACCCTTTAACGCCCTTTCAAACGCCCGTTCCTCTTTCAAAATAAGCTCCTTGGTACTAGACTCGCAATGGAAGGCGCTATCGCCGTTTGAAACATGTTTAATACGTGTCTATAGCCTTTGACTAATATCACGTGAGTGGGGTTGAGTGCATTTTTTTCAAAAAAATAATTCGAGCGTCAATGGGTCAAAGTAGTAAGCGGTTTCTGAGGGGGTAGAATGTTAATTGATATTTGAGACAGAGAAAAAAACTTGTTTATTACAATTACGTGTAATTTGAGACACTTTAGACACGTGAAAACATTTGAAGTGGGTACTTTAGACCGCGTGTTTAGGTAAGTAAACCAAAAGCTTAAGATGGAAGAGAAGGCTTAAAAGTACAGTGGTTTTTACAAGGGCCTCTGAGGAATAACCTCTTCACTCGATTTAAATACACATCCTGAAATGTTGAGAGCAGCAGGAATAATCTCATCTTGATTAAATTCAAGCATCCTTTGGTATGTTCAAAATGCCATGAAAAATAGAGACAAACTTTCAAATGTACCAACTGGCTAGCTTATAAAATCTATCACGGACAAAAAATTCCACAATGCAATCAAATCATGAAAATCGAACATCGGACATAACAGAGGGAGAAAGACCCCCTTGGGTAGAAGTGGAAATCTCAATGATTTCAGAACTCAACAAGCAACGAGAGAGAGAGAGATCTACCAACACCACTGTATTCTCCTATTTGATAACTAACCCGCTTCATCCCACACTAGATTATTTTGCAACATTGTATGTTCAAATTTTTTTTCTTTATTAGCATAAATTCCAAAGGTTCCTTGAATCACCATAGACAAGAGTGAGGTAATGAGGGCACATTGTGTGTGGTATCAGTTGTACTTTTGTCCAGTAATAAGCTTGATGTAAATTTTTCCTAAACAGCAATATGTCGAAAACTGCTACGTTGGTAGAATTGGTTAACTCTCTTGCATAGGAGGGATAGAATTAGGAAGACTGGAAACCAACTACGTTTTACTCAAAGCATAACAAATAGAGGCGTTACCTTCTTTTGTTATGAGCCTAATGAAATCAATTTTATACTCTATTGCATAAATAACGAGTGGCTTTATGTTAACAAGCATCAAGTTCAAAACTGAAAGAATCCTTGAAAATCCCCCAGTCAACTAAAACAATAAGGGGTACATCTTCGTAATCTGCCATACTTCAACAGAACCCTTTACGTAAAAGCTTTGGATATGCTGAAATAGCATTCTCCATGTCAATTTAAATTGGAGTAACGCATAGTCGTTTCATCAACTTGCTCAGTAATCGATCGATTTCAGTGCACTACTTAAATTGAGATTAATCAAGCTATTTAAAAATAGACCGGACAAGAGTACAGCTATTTCAATTTGATGGTAAAACGTGTGCATTTTTAAAGCTTAAATAAGGAGAATCGGTATGCGAATGCATAAGATTTCGCAGAACAGCACTGGCTACAATAATAAGCGAAACGAAGGCTGTGTTTAATTCAGCTAAACCTACGCGCGAAGTGTTATTGACTTTTCACACCCACGTCGTAAGTTTCTGCAAAAACTGTCAGCTCTTGCACACGTGTGTAGTATTTCAGTATCACTTATTTACACTTGCACTATTTGCTCAAGAAAAAATCAATGCGAAATCGATTTCATGGCAAAATATATTTAATTGCCTTGACAATCATTAACAAAACCACATAATTCCAATTTGCATACTAAAATTCATTAATCAGTTTGTATAAGACCTTCATTCAACAAGCGAACACAGTTACCACGATGTGAATCTAATACAACTCTGAACAGAATTAGATTTTAGAAACACGCCTGTATAAATATTAGTAAAAATTAGATTCATACCAACTTATCGTCAACCTAAAAATACATCTTAGATACAGGGTTTGCAACGCACTTGGCCCATTGTCACTTAGAAGCTTTAATATTTAGGTGACCTCCTTGCTAATTGCCTTGAGAGTGCTTAAAACAACTCCATTAGCAAAAGCGACAGACTGAAATGCATAAAAGCAATCAAGATGAAAGCAGAGCTGAAATAGGCGTTACGCCCGCTACCTAGCTCAGTCGTGCGCAAAGGCTTATAAAGAGAGGAGAAATATAATCCTCTACAGCAACGCCATGGGAGTAGGAGAGGAAATGAAATTGACAAGCAACCCAGAAATAAACCATTAAGTCCTACCGCCTTATCTGATCTCGTTTGGGCGTAGCCTAAAACACCTCTGCACATTACCTCTATTCCCTCACACAAAATTCCGTGTACTAGCAATAGTAAAAGACATCTTACCATGTGTGAAAAGATAATATATTTGAATGTTGTCATTAACAACTGACAGGTAATCCAGACTTTGCACAGCAGGAAATAAACTCAGCCACGGATGGGTTAAATAAACTGGGAAGGAGAAAGATATGAGTTTAAGAGGAAAATATTAACCACCCATTCAATGTTCATTACCATAGTCAAAACCCGAGTAGGGATTCGACAATCGATAATGAAACTAGAATGTAGCTGAATGGGATCTAGAGGTTTAGATGACTTGATGAGAAAAGAAAAGCCAAAGATAGAGAAGCTAACAAGAACCACAAGAAACACAAAATCTTAAATAGAGAACTACTTAGACAGTTTTTTTGCGGAAGAAATGTACAGTACTGGTGGGAAAAAACGCGTCAATAACCAGAGGTCTGGTCCCTTTAACGGGTCCAGTGATAGGTAGTTGTAAGCAAATAAGTGATAAAAATGCTTTATTAATGCCGTAAAAGAACCCATGCAGTAATGAAAAGGGGAATAGATGGATGTATAAGAAACGATAAAGCGAGCATTTAAAGGAAGAAAATAGGTGTATGAATACCACATTGACTTGATAGTACATGAGTTTCTGAACGGCAACTACTTCGTTGTCATCATGGTAACGAATTCTAAAACGCAAAATGCACAAAATCCTAGCCTTTCAACACAAACAGACACAACACTGGGACCTCGTGAAGACAATCCGCAAAAGACAAAATTAAACGTAAAATACATACAAAGAAATAACATTGAGGTAAAATTAAGCAAAGGCAAACCACAAATACCCTAAAACTCACTACTAAGGCAGTCAAAAACTTGTTGATTCACTCTTTTATTGAGGGAGGGAGCAAGATTATGACACCGATAAAGAAATATACAACTTGATCCAAGTAGCAATCAACACACTTTAACTAGTATAAAGAAAAGGGAGAAGAAAGTACATGGTTTTACTTGGGGAGATTTATGGGGTTTAGTTGCGATATGCCAAACGTGAGAATCATGAAAGTTGTAAGCGCAAAAGCGAGTCTTACAATCGCAGATACGTTGCATATATCTAGATATATAACAGGTCAACTTTTGTTCAGCTGCTTGAGCACGGAATGATAACACGAAGTTTTGTGAAAAATACCAACACACGTCAGAAATAGGGAAAGGGTGGGCGGGATATAGGAGACAGAGGAATTTGTCAACGTTAAATAACGCGAAAATACATTGAACAAATTAAACTTAGAGTGCGCATGACGTGTTGAGGTTACTTCGACTGCATCATTGAAACGAATTCTTGTTAACCGAAGCGAAATTTCGAACGTGAAAACATCGAGAACGACACATACACGGAAGGTGGGGGAAACAAAAAAAACACAAAAAACACGTGAGACATTGAGATACAACATAGATATTCAAATTCGACATGCAAAGCAAACTTGCCTTCATAATTCACTTGACCATCGCCATCAATATCAGCCTCACGGATCATTTCATCAACTTCTTCGTCGGTTAGTTTTTCACCAAGGTTGGTCATGACGTGCCTATAGATAGAAAGGTGGTCGTAAGGTAACATACCGTAACTCAGCAGCCGAGATAAGACCGTTGCCATCCTTGTCAAACACACGGAAAGCCTCTCGAATTTCTTCTTCGCTGTCTGTATCCTTCATTTTTCTTGCCATCATAGTAAGGAATTCAGGGAAATCAATAGTTCCGTTGCCTAGCGAAGGGATAATAAACCAAAACTAGTCCCATACCATCTGCATCGACTTCATTAATCATATCCTGAAGCTCGGATTCTGTGGGATTTTGTCCAAGGGACCGCATAACAGTTCCCAATTCTTTAGTAGTAATAGTTCCATCGCCATCTTTATCGAATAACGAGAAAGCCTCCTTGAATTCAGCAATTTGCTCTTCTGTGAGTTGATCAGCCTATAGAAACATGAAAAATTAAATGAAAACACACATAAGCACATAAATAACGCGTAAATAAGCGCCAGAAGAAGTTAACTAACCATCACAAAATAATCGAGTTAATGAACGAGCCAAAAGCGGTTTGTGCAGAATCGAAAGCCTGCAGCAATAAGTGCATGCAAACAAATTAGGTAATTATATTTATGCATATATCAATATAATAGTTGTTATTATTATTTAAATTTGTGATTGATATTAAATCACATTTTATTTGATTTTAAATTTGAACCAGTTTATATTTTAGAAGCAACTCTGAGTAAAGCACAAGGAATTGAAAGAGGAATTATAAATAGACGGTAAAGTAATTTTGGAAATTATGAAACTTTTTCATATTAATGCTTAAGATTTTGATATTCAAAACAGTTAATCGCACCATTTAATGTTCAAAAATAGGATTGTTTAATTATCATTCGGTAGTTATTAAATTTTAACTGATAAGTGTTTATTTTATTTAAGGCACATTTCAAACGCAATCACTAGTAATAAACCTCGTTTATTAATAAAACGATGCAAGACGATTATAATTTTTATGACTATTCATGGCCGAATTTTGTCCAACCAAAAAACTGACTTTACTTTGTAACAGAAGTATATTTTTACTGTGAATTTTTTATTGAAAAAATGGAGAGGTTAAGTAAAGTTCCCAAAACACTGTAAAAATGCTATATATCTGTTTGAAAATGCGTTTATATAAATGCGGATAATAGAATTTTTCGATGTCAAAATCCTTTTAGAATTATGCCTACTAATGAGCCGAAGACGTGAGCTCATTAAAAATGAACATAAATTTGCTTCAATTAAAGGCTCAAGTAATTTTGGTAGCTTTATGACCTGAGATTAAGTATATTATTGTTTGCGAAAAATATAGAATATTGAGCATTTATTATTATCATATGGTAGGCTTTATGATAGTTATCACGGTAGGGAGGAACATAACCACAAAAAATGGAAAGAAGGAACACAAGAGTGATCCAGAGATGTAAAAGAGATAGACAGACACGAGGACAATATATTAGGTTAGGTGAGTACTGTGGGAGTGGTGTCATGTCAGCTTAAAGTCAGAAGTCCGTTGCTAATATTTGACCTTTTTAGCCATATGGGTATACGTTACCCAGTATGCACAAAGTTAAAGTTAATCTATCGCACACTCCAGTATTTTGAACGGTTGCTTTCTTTCCATTTGCTGAGTTGAAACGGATTAATGGATACATACAGAGCTCATCCACTGAAAACAACGTTAATCCACTATATAAGAATAAATTCAATGATGTTTATGTAATGTTTTCGATATACCGATTATATAAAAATTAAATGGAACTGCGATTCCATCATATCATCGCGCGCACCTCGATTTATTTCCGCCGATATTCATTTATTTTGAACAAATGTTTAACCTCAAATGTGACACCCCAATGACTCATACAAAGAAAATAAAACACTACAATCGTATTAAGGCAACTTGAAATTATCCTAAAAAATTAACTGTTTTAAAGATTAATACAGTAGAAAGGCCCATCTCCTAAATAAACGATTGAATAAGCAAGTATTTTGAAGTTGTTTTAAATGTTGTTTTTACTTTATTTGACAATTTTATTTCATATGTGGTTCCCATTCTCTCAGAAATCATAATTTAAATAAATCTTTAAAATATAGATCATAAATTACTTTTAAATAAATGTCTTTTCCTTAATCAATTACGGTAGTGAATATTTTTATTCCTTAAACAGTTTAGCTTTTAAATAAGTATTCGTTTTAATAATTAGCATGCATCTATATGATAAGTAATTCGTAAAGCGGTAACAGCAGATGTTTTGGGCTATTGAAGTTCCAAGATTTATCGAAAACAGTTATTTATCTATGTTTATTTACTTTGCTCCCCGTTTACTTAATCATTTTGATTATGTACTTGTAGTTTATCATCGTTGTAATATCATGCTCTAATTCACTTTAAACAGTATCAATTCCTCAATATGCTAACGTTACTATTTCCTTCGAAATCAGCCGCCTAAATGAACCGCGATCTTAGCTTATTATAGTATTAGTGGAAAGCTCTGATTGATTATAGAAGGACTAGGTTTGGAAAATTGTTGAATTATTTATAGTAATTATTTCTCAACTTTTTTGAATGTCAGAATTTATTGCCTTCTTTATGTAAGCATTCACGACTTTACATATTTGTCGTAAGCAAAATAACGGTGAAGAGTTAGTCGTGGCATGTGTCTGCAATAACGGTGCATGATGACCATTTGTTTCCTTTTACCTCTTAATTACAGTTTTTGATTATACTTCTTGCTGAGTGTGATATTCACTATGCTATCTAAGCTACAAAATTGGCCATTTGGGTAGCCTTATTTGTGTATGTATTCCTCTTTATCTTCTTGTGCAATAGCGTAGATACTGTTATTATTTTGTCATTTAGATTTAAACACACATGCAAACTGTAATTCTGACGAGTTCCTTATGTTTTTCATTTCCCAAGGAAATTATTACAATGCTGTATAAACGGTTTTCGAAAATGTCAAATAACGGTGTCAATGTTTCTAAACACAAAAACAGCGAGTATTATCAATTGAACCTTTGCTATTGGTTATCCTAAAAAGTTTAGCTTTTCATAATACCTTATCATTTGATAAAATCTTAATTGAAATTATTGTAATGGGAAATAATTACAAGCAGTTGACCGGATTCTGACTTAATTATTGCCAGGCGAGGGTGGGAGTAATTGAGTAGTAGTTCATTGGTACTGAGATCTGCGAATTCAGTATCAATTTTCTGCTCATTAATAAAGATTATAAACATTGTGCTATTTGGACAAGCGAATGCACAGATACAGGGAGAAAATATATGGGAAAGAGAAGAGGTCCTAGTCCACAAGACAAGGGGTAATTAATTTCCATTTCAGCTCAATGAGGGTCTTGTTGCCTTTTACAAAAGAGCTCATGGGGAGACACAATGAATATGACTTTAAAGATAAACAAGGCCTTCCGATATGTGGCACTTTATCAACCATTCTTTTACATACGACCTCCAAAGATCGTAAATTGAACACTGCGAGAGTTCTTATTGATAAATTGGTCCGAGAAACAGGAATTCCGGGATGATGTAAGTACACTACTGTCTTTTCCAAAAAAAACATTCTCAAAAATTTACTTTACACTTCATTAATTTCACTAAAATTTCCTTGAGGCGAGATTTCCTGCTTTATTTGAATGTAATTGAAGTTGTTGGCCATTTCAGCTATGCTAATAAAGCCAGACCAAAACGCTATTAACGAATTGGTTGATGTTGTAACAAAAACAAAATTCAAGTTCCCTTTTACAGCTGATGTTTCAAAAGAAGTTGACAGGTAGTTGAAAAGGAAAGACAACACAAAATAAAAAGTAACAATCCATATACTCACGACAATTCATAAATTTAAAAGTCTAATAAGCATACAGGAACAAAATAGTGTTAACTCAAACTTTAATAATTGTTGTTAAGATGACATGCAGTTGTCTTCATGGTCTATAATTTCCACAAGGCACTAAATTAACACCGATATCTCACTATTTCCTTGCAAAATTAACAGGTAATAATCACTTCCTTTAAATCGGAATGCACGATATACTTAAAATTTTATTCAGCGATATAATTTTATTCCCTGCTCTATGTTTAAAAAGGAGGCTATTCTCATGAAATTTCAATTTGCCATGGCACTCGAATTTGAAATTAGAAATAAGGGCAATTAATCCTAAAGTTAAAAAAACATTTTCAGATATTTTGAACAAAATTACGTCCCTTGTCAATTTTTTCTCTTCATCAAAAATTCCAAAAAAGAGATAATATTTGATTAAAACCCATTTCAAAAAGGAATTCTAATTAAAATTTCCCATGGTCTATGTAGGCTCATTTCCAATGCAACCAACTTTATTGAAATTAAAAAGTAGTAGTAGTAGTAGAAATTATTATTATTATTATATCAAATGGCAGGCGTTTTGAT